CTCTCTCTCTCTCTCTCTCTCTCTCTCTCTCTATATATATATATATATATATATATATATGTAGAGGAATAAGAATTGTGAAGAAAGCAGAAAAATAATAATATAAAAAATTGTAACCTGTTTTTACAATACATATATAGTTCTTATTTAACATAAACTGTACATTTCCCAACTACTCCTTAATTCAATTCTTTATATTATGCGTACGAATAAATTCAAAGAATTCATATACTTAAAAAATACAACGTACGTTACAGTTGAACAAAGAACCGGAAGAACTCTTTGCGTTGGTGTAGTCACAATGCCAATACAATAATTGCCACTGTAACGCAAAAAAATTTTAACATCTTCGCCATACAGAATTTACAAAATCGCTCGCTTTCTCTCCTCTCTTGTCACGAAATATAAAATTAAAAACTGTAGTAAAACTCACATATAATTACAGGACATAATTAGTTCCTCTCTCAATATTTTTTCTCCCATCACACAACCCCTTGAGCGACCAATAAAAAGCGCGAGTCTCCTACCACGGTACCGACTGACCTTTCAAATGCAACGCGTATTAAAAGCGCGAGCGGTGCGCATGAAAAAGTATAAACGAAAAGCGCAACAATACCGAAAAAGCGTTATAACTATTGCGCGTAATGTTGAACTCTGAAAGAGCCATGTTCCGTTCCGACAAATACCGCGTGACTTAAATTGCGTCACGATCCTTCTAGCTATCCCGCGAATGTTTTATTCCATTCGCAAAAGCCACCCTCTTCCCCTCGTCCCGCCTGCACCTCGGCGCGTCCCCCTTCCTCGGCTTGCATCAGAGTACCAAGTCCGTATGTCGTGAATCGAAGTACAAAGAAGCAATAGTAGAAATAAGATAATTGCTATTACAATCGCAATTTCATCCAGGACGACGGAGCCTTGGTGGTGAAGAGTCGCGGAGTGAAGAGAAGAGGAACGGAGCGTGGAGTGGGGAGCGGAGAAGGACGACTGCCGCAGAGAGCTGAACTACAAAGTACGTTAATGTCGTGCTCACACCCCCGTGCACCCCCAGCGCCATTCCGATGCCGCAGACAGTTTGTTGTCGAAGCTTCGGGGATTACACAAATGAGGTTGTTCAGCGGGAGAAATGTACATTCCGCTACAAAGCCGGCCGCGCGCGCCGTATGCCACGCACGGAATTAAAAATCGGGGTGGAAGAGCGAAGGTGAAAAGTGCCGCTCTGCCGCGATTGCCCCGGACCCCGCGCCGCGGACAATATTTTCTTTGCTGAAAGCCGGCGCGCCGTAGAATGGATTTTCATCGGAGCGGCGTTTGAGCCCTTCAAGAACGGAATTCGTTTTTATCGGATACGCGCTCTCGCATCGGAATATCGCCGCAACGACCGGTGTAGTTTTTAAAAATAGCATCCTTCGACCTCGATCGTCGCCATCAGCGGCTTGGACATATTGCGACGCGTTGATGCGCCTCGCTCAATTTGCGATACCGTCGTGCGGAATGCTTCGGCTAATCGCTCGCGTATCGCAAATTCCTTTCAAATTAACGCCTCCGAAGAGAAGCATTCTTCCTTTGTAACGGTGAATTTTCCCTCACATCTTATCGATCTGTGTGATAACTTTGTTAAATATAATTTCTCCTTTCTCATTTAATATATCTAATTCTCATCGTTCCTAGAATAAATTGATTATATCATATTATAATTATAACATGAATTAATTTATGGACGATATCCATGTGAATCTATTACCTCAATATAATCTGTACCATAAATAATATAAAAATTTAATAAAAGATAATTTTTTAAAAAGACTCAATAGCGTATGTTCCATAACCATTTAATCGTGCATATATTTATTTCTATTGTAACTTTTTGTGAAATTTTGTCACGTGTTTAGCATCATTTTATCTTTTTCACAACTAACGGTGTTTGTATCATCCGTAAAAAAGGACAACCAGACGATTTAGTCGGGAAAGACTGGCTACTAGCAAATTCTGCACGCATAGATGTGAGATAATTTGAAACGGATGAAAACATTCAGTCACGAGTACGGAAAAGCTTAAACTTTTCGCCTTATTTGATATCGCGAATAGTAATGAATCTCTCCGTGAAATTCGTCTACTTGAGGGAGGAGTAGAGCGGCAACCGAGCGCGATAGTGACGTCGGCGGAAACTAGTTAGATCGGCGCGATCCGAAGGGGTTGTAACAGAGGCGGTCCTCGGTGCTGGCTCGTACCGTAAAGACCAGGGATAGTAATTGTATACGTACTGAGAGAATGGCAAGGTAAACAAAACTATGTAAGATTGCCCCATTAATATACATATCTCTTGGTTCAGCCGGGCCATGAGAGAGCCAACCCTGAGCCGCCCCGATGGGATGAGTAGTCTTGGCCTCAGACTTTGGGGTTAGGCTCGCTCGAGAGCAAGGAGGGTACACAATGGATATTGAGACCATAATTTACGGCTGATTGTTAGCCTCGCGATCTATGAATTCCTGCGTCCCGCCGCGCGCGTCTCCGGTCCGCTCGAGCGTCTTCCAACGACTCCCGCTTCCACGTCGAATTTGTGTTAGGCCTGTAATAAGTACGGCATACGTGTGCACCGGCCGGAAGCGGAGGCATTGGAGGAATCCTGCGGCAGCGATCGGTGTGGGTGTATAAACGACGCCGCGGGACCGCAACGCTTGTCACCCCGCGGATGACTTTCGGTTGACCCTGCCGTTGCGCGGAAAGGTATAATTAATAATTAGACAATGGGTGACATTCATAACGAGTGTAAATTTACCGCACACTCTACAGTTTAATAGACATTAAATATGTTTTTCAGCTAGCATTCGTAATTCAAGTCGCGTTTTCCAATGCAAATAACTGAAAAAAGTAAGAAATGAGTCGGTAAAGGCGAGTCGCAAGCGTAATTGGCCAGAGTTCGAGGACGAGCGTTTCCGCGCGAGGTCAGTTACCTTCTCTGCTCACTCGACTGGCTTTGCAACAAGAACGGTTATAAATTAATTACGAGGGCCAAATTCACAACTAGATCCCATTCCACGGGTTGAATTGGAAGGGGCGAAATGTCTTACTAGTTTCACCGGCAGCTCGAGGGACCCCGCGTAAGTAGGAGGCGATGTTTGGTCTTCCTTACAAGGGGCCAACCAGAGCCAGCCGACCAACCTGCCTGCCACTTACCAAAGGATAATAACGTAGTAATCCCGCTATGAGACACGGATGAAGTCCTTAACAACCTCATAAACCCAAGATATATCTCGCATATCAATATACCGAGACAAGCATGCCGCTACAATATATACATTCGCGTTATCTCCTGCTAATTAAACAAGCGATTCATGTCAAATTTTCTCACAATCGCAAGATATCACGGCAGCGCTAACAGCGTTATTTAAACCATTAACTACCATTAATTCATTAAACGTCGTATTTCATTAAGAAATCAATCACCAACTGGATAATTAGATAAATTGTTCACGTTCTCTCTTTATGCGCCTATCACTGGAGCATAAATTTTATATACA